TAAATTACTGTAATAATCAGAAAATTTTAAAATAAATAGATATATTTATTAAATTACTGTAATAATCAGTAATTATTAAATTACAGTAATTTATAATAACAGTAATAATCAGTAATTATTAAATTACAATAATTAATTACTGTAATAATCAGTAACTACTGTTATTTATATGGCAGTAATTACTGGGTTGCTCTCGTGGGAGTAGATTCCATTTCCTGCACGGTCGGTTCAGTTATATAAAATATATATGGCAGTAATATATAGAAAATATGTGACATATATTAAAAATATATATAAAATATACATATAAATATATATATACCGGTCGGTTCAGTTAACCGCCAATTTTTTTTATAGGTTAACCGAAAACTGAATTGGACCTTCAGTTTTTCAAAAATTCCGAACCAAAACTGAACCGATTGGTTCGATTAACTGAATTTTGCAAATCGATTTTCTCAATTTAGTTAAATTTTTTGGTTTTTTCGATTTTTCATGGACAACCCTAACTCTAAGGACTAAATGGCAGTATTGTTAGACTCGACCGTGTTGATCAGTTGGGCAGCTCAAACCGGAAATAGGAACTGTAGATCATGGGAACAATCATGGGAAAACCGAGGGAGACAAAAAATAGGAACTGTAGATCAGGTACAAAATGACGATATGTGCCACTTGGTTTCCCAAACAATCATGAATGCTCTATGTTTTTCATTTCCCTCAAGTCAGCTTCTGCTGCATATGTTCAGGTTTCTTACATGAAAATATGGACTTATTTGAATTGTCATTGCATTTACAACTTATAAGCATAATTAACCACCCTAATATTTGAATATTTTAATTACAAGGAATATTTTTGATTCCCATTTAATTTGCCTATCCAAAAAATAATTTGCTCAATCACACCAATATCTCTAATCCTGCATTTGTATTTTAGGAAGGCAATAGTCTTTATTTTATTTTTTTTCTTTTTTCTAATCTTGGTTCCATACAGTGCTAACTGCTGAGGTTTAACTTGCAACAGAGCAAACTTGACCGTTGAACTTCACCTCTACAAAAAGTAATTATTTTCAATGGAAACAAAAAAAAAAGCCATTGGTATTTGGCTCTCTACTTAAATCGTACTGCAGGAAGCTGTGCAGCTTGTTTGTGATCCTCACAAAAGATTCAAGTATTAATCACAACTTTATCAGTGTAATACTATACAAAATCAAAGGTAACTAACAAAGACACTATTATACATCAAAGTAAGCTGGATTCTCACAATAGTAGACACTACTGTAGAAGGCGTCTCTTGAACAACTTCTGCTGAGAAAAATAGAGCTGTACAACTTGTAAATTCACCAATCCACTATAGTTAATGTGGTTATCTGTCACTTGGTCCCTGAAACTTACATTGCCCATGGCTGTTATATCACTTCCTCTCTGTTTATCCAACCCTTGGGAAAGAATCCTGCCGAGTTAGAGCATAATCTCCATCTGAACGTTCATGGTTTCTGGTGTCTACAGACATCACTTTTGAGCAGAGGAAGAAGAAAGAAGATGTGTATATGGTGACATGCCACAAACTGCAAAATCATAAGAGAAAAAAAGATGTTAGGTTGTATGCCTCACAGTTCAAATGCATCAGGTAGAAAACGAAGTATTCTCTCTCCATCATACCTGTGCCAAATCCAGTAGCTTTCACTGCTCTCAAGTTTCCAGCTAATGGCAGCCATGGACAATGCAATGAAACCCAGGAGCACAAAAACCCAGTGGAAACGTTTAAATAGTGTCTTGATAAGATTACGGACCCATCCTCTCCATCTGCAGTAAACGAAAGTTTTAAATTTCATACATGTAAAGAGGAAAAAACAGTCTTGTTCAAGGAAAAAACAAAACAGCTTATCCAAAGATAATCATTCCTGTTTTCCTCTTCTCATACACAAAGCACAAGGAATATAGCAATTTAAGAAGAATTGCCTTATTTAGGTGATTATGATGGCCTTTACAATGAATGATCTACAAGCACTGGTCAACAGTTAGACAGTAAGTGATAGCAGCGAATAAGCCTTTACATGTTTATCTTTCCTGGGACCTTTTCAACTCCTGCCATCATCATGGGATGGCACTCCATATAGTGACAGCTTTAAAAAAGCATTTAAAAAATTCTCACCCATGAAAATAATGATTTTCAGGAAAAAGAAATCACTTGAAGCACTAAAGCAGGAAATGAGAAAAAATGGTATAACAATTTGCAGAAACTGGTAAAAAAACTTAAGCCATAATAAATGAGTAAATGGATCACTCCAGGAAAAAAACAATTCAGAATATTTTAAGATAATGAAATGAAAGTCATCTCTAAAAGAATGTTTCTAACATAATAATGGACTCGACCAGTGAAGATATCCAAGAAGTTCTTCAACCTTCCAAAATTAAAGAAAATACAGAATTTACCAATATATCTAATCTAATGCTGGAGTGATATGTGCACAATTTATCCAAAAATATCTGTGAACTTTGAAGGAACATACCCATCAATGATATTTAAACAGAAGCCTGTTGACCATGATATTGACCTATGTGTTGTAGAAAACTCTACTAGCCATCCAATAAAAAGACCTAGACCTCCAATGGCTATGACAATAATTATATTGGCAGACCTGCAATGCTAATTATTGACTGGTTAGGAGGAACTTGTACCTACCAAAGAAAATTTTAAGTTTCAAGACAGTAAAACTAAGTCCAACAGTTCTCCTTACCTAGTTGCTCCAGTTGCAGCCATGAGAGCTGTAAGAATTGATACACAAGTATGTATTGCCCTTCTTGAAACTTCATCAATAGCTGCTAGGTACACAAAGGTGCTCACAACAGCCATGAACGAAAGCCAAAAGTCCATAAACTGAAACCAGATATCAGATTACATTTTTATATATAATTTAAAACACAGGCATCAAAGGCCAATTCTTACTGTCTTTGTGATAGGTACTGTGAACCTTCATTAATTATGACAAATTAATTATGGCAATATCTGAGGTACTACTTAAAATATTAAGAGAAAAAGAATGAAACATATTCTTTTCCTGCTGATCTTTTGGACATGCTAACCTTACAACATCTGGTACTTCACTGGATGTTATTTATTTTTGAACCTAAAGTATATACAGTTATAAGATCTATGTAGTTTAGGAAAAAAATTGTCCTGAAACACAAAATTTCCATGGGTACTCTAAGTATGGGAATATTATTTAGAGGCATTCCATAAGAACAACCATTCCCCCCTGGTTTGCTCCCTTTTTTTTTACTGTTCCCATCATGCAGATTGAATGCAATGTCAAACATTTATGGGAAATTGTTTAAAACTCACCATGAGTTTTCAGTATTTCTCTTAAACTCACCACAACTTTTCAAAATATCTAAAACTCACCATGTCACTAATTTGACGTAAAACAGACTAACGGGCGTTAATATATTACCATTTTAACCTTCATAGAAAATATAAATTATAGAAATTTCAAACAAAATAAAAAACTATTTTCAAATTATAGAAACTATAGAAATTGAAAAACAAAACCAGAAAATAAAAATTGTAGAAAAAACACCAAAAATTATAGAAAAACACAGAAATTGTAAATAAATAAAAAAACAGGAAAATTTATAGATTGTAGAAAATAGAAAAATGTAAAAAAACAGAAATTATAAAAAAACATTGGAAATTATAACAAAATACTAAAAATGCAAAAAAAAAAACAAGAAAATTGAAAACTGAAAAAGACCATTTTTCCTCTAACTCACCATTCAAGGGTAATTTGGTCTTGAAAATTGTTATTTATGCTGACATGGACATCTCTGTTAAGAAGCATTAATGGTGCACTAATGGATGGTGAGTTTTGGAAAATAAAAACTTACTGACATGGTGAGTTTTAGACATTTAGAAAAGTTGTGGTGAGTTTATGAGAAATGTTGAAAACTCATGATGAGTTTTAGACAATTTCCCAATGTTTATAAACTAAAACATATGAAATACTTTGGTTAAGATGTTGAATGATCACAATGATCAGTTGAGTTAATTACATTGGCAACCATTAGGCAAGGGGCATTTCCCCCCCCTATAAAGAACTCGTGTACCTGCAAAACATGAAAGGAGAGAGCACACCAAGTGCCCACATCACATGCATGATACAATCCACTTGAAATTCCACTAGATGTGAAGAGCACCCACTCTGCAAATTCCTGCGGAGAGCAATAAATGAAGTTCATCACAATGTGGGATAGGAATATAACTAGTTAAGAAGAGAAATGGTTGGAAAGTCATTGCATAGTGTGATGGTACATCTCAGCCTGACAAGTATCAGAACGTCAATGTGGGTTTGAGTCTGAAAGCCACTTTGTGCTAACAATGCATTGGGTAATGGCTCTGAACTAGATATCAGTAGGTGTCAAGTTTTTAATTTCTGAGTTTATAAATAAACTCCAGTATGCATTTCAAGTGAACCTTACCTTTTTCCGAAGGGCCCAAAATGCTGGCAACAAAGCTGCTGCATTTGATGAGATAAGAGCAATTGACTGCCATATATGTCCTACATTATTTTTCAAGAATGAGTGAATTAGATTACAGATAAAGGGATTCTTTAGAAGATGGCAAAAATATGAACACATATTACATCACATGACAAATAAAGTAAATTTAATGGAAAGATCAGGCCCAAATGATGTTTCCCTTGGAAACTAAACACTAATAATGGGAGAAAATAACTATTAGAGTTAGGCCTTTCATTATGAGAATGACAGTTTTGTTAAATAATTTCAGTAGGTCTTTGTGATGGAAAGTAAATTGCTTTTCTTCAATAAATGAAGTAGACTTTCCTTTGTGAAAGCAAGTAACTGTTTCATTAAACTTCCTCACTTTTGACCAGTGAGACATCCATACATGTATCAGCTTGGCTGCCAACAAAGTTATTATACCTTAAAAGAAAGTTCCATTATATTGGACACAGAGCCAGGACAGTTCCATTATATTGTATCAGCTTGGCTGTCTGATTTTGTGCTAATTCAAAATTTCTTTTCCAGGTTCATTACACAATTCTATCAGTAGGGATCAACATTGGATAAGGCCTTTTATGTGATACAGGATTTTGGTGATATTACTATACTAAAAAAGGAAGCTACCTGATAAGCAAAGGATAAACAATATAGAAAGAAGAAATGAAAACTAGGTTGAATAAAAAACTAGCACAAGAAGCAGAAGGGTTTATTATGACCTACCAAAGCACCATTCTTCTCCAAATGGTCTAAGATGAGACTCATGAATCATGACTTCCAAGGGTTTTGATTTGAATCTTATTTCTGAATCATTTTCTGCAAAAATCTTATGTTTTTTTTTTGTTTGAATCCTACGATTTGATTCATAAATCTTATGTTTTATATGATTCCTGTGATTCACTACAATTCAAATAAATTCAATTAAGAATTAGTTTTCATTAGCCGTTTTTTTTGTTTATAAATAATTTTGTCAAGGGAAGCTTTTTTAAAGCCCTTAGAAGAAAATAATTTGTTTATGTTATTTAAGACCAAACATTAAGTTTATTTTCCATCATATGTAGGTTAAAGAGCCATTGCATGCAGATTATTTGACTTTCAAACTTGATTATATCATCTTAGGCTTAAATTGCACAAGTGGTAAGTTTTATTGTTATAGGTACATATATGGTAGATATGGATTAAATATAGAGTAAAACCACATTCCTATATATATATATATCCTTTAGTGTATAAATAATTATTTTTTGACAAATTTGTAAAAAATAGAAATAATCTAACGATTTACAATATGATTCATGATTCAATATGATTCAACTTTCTCTACGATTTATGATACAATTATGATTTTCAAAACATTGTTACACAGTTACCTTCACGTGAGACGATTTCAACACTGCAATCAAATCCCCCATGGTTCCGATCACAAGAGCAATAGCTGAGAATACAAAGACAAGGTTAAAAAATGATAGATTACCAAGCTTCCACATGTAGGCATGAGAGGGGGTCATGGGAGATAAAAAATATGTGATTCCCCTAGGAAGAGGATAAACATATTTATAAATCAAGAGGCTTAAAAAGTAAGCACATAGCAGGATCTGATACCTGTATAGTGTCAAACCACTTGCATCTACAACATTCTGACATGTCCCATGACTAGAGCATTGTTTTGGACATCTCTCAATAGAAATTGACATTGTAGTCTGATGTTTGGAAGGATTACCATGCCTTAACCCAAAACTCCAAGTGCCTTCTTTAACATATAATATATAAAAATTGGCTCCTTTTTCACTAGAATCATACAATTTGAAAAACATGGACGCATTGCTATTACTTGTCCTGTTTGCGTAATAGTAATCCCAGGTATCTTTAGAAGGTAATCCACCAAACCTGGCATATATTTGATATTCCAATTTTATATCTGATTTTAATTGGACATGCATATTGCCTCCAGCTGCACCATGAGGAATGTCCAGAAGAAAGTAAGTCCAAACATTATCTAATTGGTCCCCAAATGAGAAGTTGCTTAAAAGGGGCTCCAGAGGGAAATTAGCCGACTCCAAGGATATCTTTTCATCTATTGGCAAATAATAAGACTCAAAAGGAACGGAGGGATTTTTCCTAAGAATGGTCTGCAGAAAATCATCTCAGCCAGTCAAAACATATTAGAAAATAAGCTGTACACAACATATCAGTCAAAGCAATCATCTTTTCACTATGAGTGCATGATAAAAAGATGTAAGTTTAAGTTAATGAAACAAATGTATTCTAATATATCATGTATATTAGTAGAAAGAGACTGTGGAAAGATGCTTAACCTTCATCCTTACCATTTAAAGCATATACAAATCAATGGATAAAATATAGTGAAGAAACAATAAAATTGCATGCCATGCATTTGGATATTATCATATAAATCCAGAAGGCTTAATGATTTTCATCAAGGATCCTGGTAGACTTATATATGAGAAGCAAATTTATGAACAAGGCAAGAGACCCCAACTGGTTTTTTCATCTTATTTGGGTTAGAATGATTTAGTAATAAAAGTTGGATGAAGCTTCCCTGACAAGCAGGTGCAAAATAACCAGGAAAATGACAACCATATGTTCAAATCTTGTGGGGTTTTGCTAGTGTGAGTGAGAAATCCTTAATGAGATGCCCACTCCTACAAATTCACACAAAAAGAAAAAGAAAAAATGACAAAAGGAACAAGGTAGTGAAGTTCCTCCAAAATTTTATACATCTCAAATCTAACCCAAGAAGGTCCTAGTCCCTCTTTGTACCATGCCTCTGCATACATTATCCCCCTTTCCCCCCTATGCTTGTGCATGCCCACATTTTGGGCCATCTCTCTCTTTTTTTTTTTTGAAACTTGACGTTTTGTGTTTTTTACTCATGCTGGCATGTATAGAGTGAAAAATAAAGAGCCAGAAAACACCTGCAAAAAATGACAATTTATGCATCTTGCTTATTAACATTATTTTTTTTTTTTGATAATTTGCTCATTAACATTAATTGAAACCATATATTTCCTAAATCCTATATCCATTATCAGTCACCAGCTCATATACCCTTTATCATTCATGTTTCCTTCAAATTTATGGTTTACCAGTTAGTATAGTAGGCTAACACGTCTCTGAGAAATTCACAAGTTGAAAAAACAAAATGAAAGTAGAGAGAACATGTATTCATCAATCAAACCTGAAGCACATATTTCTGCCATGTACAATTTGGTCCTGCCTTTCCAATGGGACATTGAATTACTTGCCACTCCATGGAATAGCAAAGATCAGCATTAACATTTACGTCTTGCATCTTTCCATGTACCTCTGACTGATAAATGGGTTGAATACTGAAAAACCAGCGACCAACCTTTGGTGAATTAATAACCAAAGGTGCTTGACTTATATCACTTGAATAATCATGCAAACTTGTCAAAGGAATTGCATCATGTCGAGCATAACACATCAAGACAATTCCACTGGTATTTTCTGTCTTATTTGCAGCATTTGTTTCATTGAAACTGATATTTGTGGCCATAATTGTCAATTGTGCAGCTGTCCCTACCACCTCCAGAGAGTAAATTTTTGGTTCACCATCCCTGTGGCATGCAGACTCATAAGAACTTCTGCAACCAACAAAACTTTCCACTGTCTGGTTGTGCATATTAACATCTAAAAGATATTTTGTTTGCTTGTAGACACCAGATATATCACATCTAAGTGGGTCAACTGTCTGGTTGCAGTACGGGCCCCATATTGTTGAAGTTGTGCACCCTTCTACACTCACATTGGCACTGATCGAGTATGTTGGACCTCGAATTATCTGCATTTTTACCATAGTAGCAATGATAGCTTTTAGGTCTCACATTATAAGTGTCATTGTGAATGGATGAATATAAGTAACAAAAGTTTCTGAATCACTACTTAAAACATTCGCTAAAGACATGGTTGGAAAACCAAGGATCTAATACTGTGAAATAAGACATGTTCATGGAAAGGAAGAGCCTTTCTCAACAGTTTTGGGGATTTCTAGTAATAATATTAAGCCTCTGAAACCCAAGCACAAGAATCTGTGAGTGGTACAGGACTAGTTAAGCAAAACATAATACAGAGAAATCATCAAAATAAAGAATAATTGTTTTAAAAACTAAGTAGCATACCATTATAACCAGCTGTAAAGCTGTAAAGCCTGCAATGTTATATGGAGTAGAGTGTTGGGCAGTCAAGAGACAGCATGTCCAAAAAGTGAGTGTGGCAGAAATGTCAATGTACGATGAATGAGTGGTAAAACTAGAAAGAACATGCCAGAAATGCAAACATTCTGAGGAACCTAGGAGTAGCTCCAATAGGTGATAAAATGAGAGAAAGTAGATTGAGATGGTTTGGTCACGTGAATAGAAGACCATCCACAACATCCATTAGAAGTGATCTATTACAAGTTGAAGGGGCTAGAAGAGCTAAAGGCAGATAAAAAAGGACATGGGTTGAAGTAGTGAGAAATGATTTAACTGCTCATAATTTAATAATGGATGTAGCAATAAACAGAATGGAGTGGCAAAACGTGATTTATGTAGTTGATCCCATATAGCTGAAACAAGGCTTAGATAATGATGTCATTGTAACCATAAATTAGAAAGCATATTTCACTTTAAACCTCTCTTAATGACAATATGGGATTTTCCACAATCTAAACTTTTTTGTTTTTTTTTCTTTTATTTATGGTCTGTGGTTGCAAAAAAGTCCTTAATTTATAATTAATTAATTATAGCACCTATAAGAGACGTTTCTCATACTTAAATTTTCTATGGCTTCCACATCCTCCTCCCCCAGGCCCCAACTAGGTTCTATTTATTTCAATATCATCAAAACAAAGTTCTAAGGTGGCAGCAGCATTCCCACCTCAAGTAAAATTTGGGTTTAAAAATTTGTGAGCATTATTGAAATTACTTATATGCTAGGGAGAGAGTGGACAGAAAAATAAGCTCAAACTAGGAAGAATGTCTCAAAGTAACCATTATAGAAGGCATACATAAACTCATGGTATGAAATACTCACCATTTTAGATTGTGTTCTCACAGGTCCAATGCCATTGAACAAACCAACATACCAAACTCCTGGAGAGATCTGTAGAAAAAACATCTATCTTCAATCATTATTATTAACCAAATGATATAGATGAAAAGAAGAAAACAGAAATAAAAACAAAAATGAAACTTACTCTTCTTAAGCAACATATAAACCATTCTACTCAAACCCAATTGTCAGACTTGGACCAGACATAAAACCATTTTGGTCACTGTGCTACAGGTCAAATGGTTAACTGTCCAGTTTGACTGTCGGGCTTGCTCAAATGATGCAACAAAAAAAAAAAGAAAAATAGAAATGGTTTCAGATTATCCTTTACAACTATTTTACATCAAAGTAAGCATAAAATAGTAACTATTGGAGGTTACAACAACTATTAAGACATGTATAAGGGATAAATTTGACCAAGTTTGCCAGTTCCCAGTTCCGATGGTCCAACCATCCAATCTAGCCTGCGTCTGACAGCACTGATAAAACCTTCTAGTTGATAATTCAGAGATAAATATGATTGGGCAGAGATACTAGGACTGGTAGATAGGGATTGCAGTCAAAATAGTTTTATTAGGATGCACACTGGAACAAATATTTCAGATGTACTCAACCTAATTCACAAAGCCCTATCCCAACCATATGGAGTCAGTTATAACAAATCCTGTTTTGTCACTCCATTCCATCAAGGATTCAAGAGCCATATCTATTGTTAAATTGTAGGCTGTCACATCATTTCTTGCTATCTCAACCAACCAGTGTCCTTTCTGGAAGCTCCTACATTTCCTATACCCTCTAACTTGTATCAGATAAAATTTGACTTCATTGCTAAGTACGACCTAAAAATCACAAAAACCATAATTTGCTAATGAATTTAATAATTATTGACTGTAATATAATCAAGTAAGATGCCTTGAATGGTCGATTAGTGTACACTGCTAGTGGATTTTGAATAGGTCCTGGATTCAGGTCTCTCAAACATTGCTTGTAATTGATTTTTTTGAGAAAAGGTAAGGTAATTTTATTAAAATTCAACAAGAGAATACAACAGCAGCCCCACAACCGGAGCCAGATACACCAGAAAAGAACTCAAGAGCAAGTTACAACTCTAGCAGACTTCTAGCCCTCAACTGAGCTCCTAGAGCCGATGTGTGAAGGCCTTTAGCAGATGCTACCCAAGAGATCAGCTTGCCAAAAGTGAGCGAGATTAACCAATCTGCTTCTTTAGCTTCATTCTGGAAGATCCTTCTATTTCTCTTGGACCAGACTATGATTTTTGAGACTGATGGATGGGGGCCAGAGCTTGATTTGGATCTTCTGATTGGTCAGATTTACCTTGCAGTAAACAGGCTATTGAGTGACCTAAAGCCAAGATGATAGGTCAATCCATAGATTTCATAGGTTGAGTAAACCATCTTAACCTATTGGGAGTAGGAACCATGGCGGAGCTTAAGTTATATAATTTATGCCCTAGAGTCTACAGGTTGAGTGACAAGGATATCATGGCGAAGGAATGTTCTGAGGAAAGTAGGGAGCAGATTGTATATCATCAGTTTCAGATATCCATCACTAGATAGAGAATTGAAGGAATGTACTTACTACTTAGTAGATTAGAGGTCATCTAAAGCAGATGTTTCTTAGCCTGATGCAAAGTGTTGGAAGGAATGAGTTGATGGAATTCTCTGTTATGTTTTTTTTATATGAATTAATTAGAAGAAATAATGAGCACTTTTAAATAAAGGGTTGTTTTAGTAATCTTAATCCTCCAAAAGTTTAAGTGCTTGCTTGGTTGCTAGGTTTAGATATTACTTGGCAATCATCAACTGAAATCAGGAGGTTATTATATCACAAGTTTATATCTTATGCTTTTGATAGAGCAAAATGGTGGGGTGGGATTTGTGTAGCCAGCCCCAAACAATTGGAATTAAGACTGAGTTGAGTTGAGAGATAAGCTGATGCAGGGCTCATTTGTTCATACAGTGCAGGACGGTAGGGTTTATGTGCAAAGGATTCAAGAAGATGCCCATCACTTGTTTATGCAGTGCAAGATGGCAAGGTTCATTTGGGCGTACTTCTCCATTTTCAAACATACAAGGATTGGCCATTTTTTCTCTGATAGGTCAAGGAGGACTCCTTGGCAGCATGAGATATTTTCTCCTTGGTCTTCCATTGCTTGTGGTAGGAAGGTTAACACCTTATGGAGCATTATTCCTTTACCTGTATGATGGGGGTATTTGGAGAGAGAAATAAACACATTCTTTTAAAGTAAAGGTTCAATATAGTAGAATAACTGTGGTCGATATTTGCTCAATGTTGATGGCTGGGTTATTGATTCATCCTGAGTTTGAAGATGCTAATAGAGGAAGATATGGTTTGGACTTACTGACAAGTGACAACATTAAATATTGTTAATGAGAATGGATAGGCTCTAATGAGCAGAATGGATGAATGGGATAGGTGCTTCCACTCTGACTTCAGTGGGGTAAGATTGATTACAATAATGATTATAAGTCATAGTTCCAGTATCATCAAGGATTTATTTCCATCAACATAGGATTCATATTGTCAAAACTTACTCTCATGAACAACTTTGTATCACTGAATATCTGTTGTCAAGATGTGGAGAAAGGAGATTGGTATCTGTACAGATAGAAATAATTTATCATTTTGTTACATGCACACAAATTTTAACTTGCCTGTTCATTTGTCAATTTAACCATCATATTTTTCTGCAAAAGATGACAATGTTCCACATTTGAAAGATTTTGTAAACCTCCAACAGAACCGTTAGAGAAAAGATCTGATGCTGCAACAACAAAAGTGTCTATTGAGCTACTTGCAATCAACAAATGATTAAACATGAAAAGAAAATATTAAATGGTGAGATAGAGTTCACACAAAAAGTAGCCCAGAAAGTTTTTAAATCATGGGAAGAGGTTTATGCAGAAACTGATAATCTTGCTCATACAGCAGCAGGAATGCTAACAACTGGAAAGTTTTAACAGTAATCCAAGGCATTCCATGTTATGCATCAAGAAATAGAACTTCCCAGAAGAAATTTGGGAGAAACAGCCAATGCTTAAGGTGGACCTGAATCTCAGATCACATTTCTTATAACTCATACAATGGGATAGGGCTGTGATGCATGAACATGGCCAAAATGGATATGTGGAAATCTATGTGAAACAGTAAATCGTGAAATGATTACCATTGGGTCATACGCCTTTCCTTAAATAGGTTTAGAAAACCAACTAACCATATCCTGACCCTATGCTTATAATATGCTGCAGAGTTTCGAAATAACAACACATAATATAGGAACATGGAAGTGGTGAGAAACTATTGCATTACTTAAACCTTTTAAAGAAGTATTTGTAGCATCTGGAAGAGGAGGACTGCCATCTCGTAAGCATATCATGGGGATCATACTCTTATCCTGCAGACAATGTGAATCATGAGCATAGTGCCGTCAATGGGCTGAATCTTTTCCAGATTAGGGTAAATCCAGTCCCAACTAATAAGTAAATGTGTAGAACCAGTTCTGAGCCAGACCCTACAGGATCTACAATTGGGACTATCGAATCTGGCCCGATAAGACTGGATTGTAATTGTTAGCCATACTTTTAACCTGTAATTTGACAATAAACCTACTTGTTTGTTAAACTGACATATTTGAACATCATAATATGATAATATCACAACTATATCATAAGAAAAATAGGTACCTTTTAAACAGGGGGCATCTTTGCGATATGCCAATACACATATACATGATTATATATACAACTAAATATATAGTTGGTTTGGAACAACCAAAATGAATACCGGCCCAATTATAATCAGGACACATAATGCATGCCAAGACCCTTTATAATTCGGTCAGTTCATTTCAGGTCTGTTGGGTCTTCCTGACCCATTCTCAGTCCTACATGGGCAAGCAAGACAATAGAACCAGAGTGGGGACAAACATGGAAATATGACATTTGATGGATGGACATTTCATATACTTTTAAAACCTAGATCACATGTTCATTTGGTCAGTTAAACAAGCAGTCTAATACAGTTGGACAAATGCACTGACTCAAGTCAACAGATGATATCAACTGAATATAAAATATTTAATTTGAGGTTCCATTCGGTAGTCTAGCAAGCTGAGATGAAATGTGATTCAACAGCTCAATCTGTTTTTATACATTTTAATTGAAGTTTGTGATCAGAACAAACTGTTTGGAGGTCCAGTTCCTTGCATTGATCCAGTCTGAGCATCCTGCCTACCCTGCATTTGAATGCTTATATGTTCTGAAGAATCATATATTTATATTTTATGATATGAATTTCAAAATATACAACTGATATTGGAAATTATGAAGAAAATTTGAAATTCAAAATAACAATATCAGAGAAACAGTGAGACCTGTGATGGCCATCCTGATTCTATGAAGATTGGAAAGCATACTTACAAAATTCACATCTGACTTGAGTGAAATTGACAGTGAAGCAAACCAATGTGGAAGATCAACTGAATCAATGAGTAAAAAAGAGAAGAAAAAAATAAGACACTTGAATCCAATGGTAAAGCCAAAAAGGAGGTCCCTAAGAATTGGAAAGTGAGAGTCAAAATCTTGGATAAATAAACAACTTTTTTCAGATTTCTTCCTCTATTTGACAAGATTAAATACAAGCTAAGCACATTCTGTTTTCCTCTTTGTTTATAAACAGTAAAAATAATAAAAAATGAGTTATCAAGCTTGAACAAAATCTCAAAGAATATGTTGGCCCAGAAAGACAACTTCAAGAAGAGCTTTGGTAGAACCATACACAGCTGTCTATAACCAGCATAGACAAAAATGGAGGCATCTTGAACAGAAGATAAAGCAGCCAAACAGAACAATGGACCAAATTCACAGCAACCATATTGTAACCCCAAAATGTTCCCGAATAAGACGTCTGAACTATCATTCTCAACTGATACTGCATTAGTTCCCCTTATCTATTGAGTATGTATATGTCAACTCCTACACTTGGTGGATTGTCCCTGTTGTGGGATATATCCAACTTTGTTTGAGCTTTTCTGAGCATTTCACAAACTTCGATTCACATAACTGGAGTTATGAAGCACCCTTTTCAATAGAAATATTGTGTTTGGAGTACAGCTTACAACATTAAATCTGTAAGAACATATCTTCTTGCAGAAAGAAATTTACAATCAATCAGATGACGTTTCAAAATACACGTTAACAATAAAAGACTGAACTCCATCCATTACAGTATTGTCAAATCCACTGCCTTGATATCACACCCACTACATGAGCAATTAATTTATTCTTAAACTTCTATCACATTACTTGGAATAGAACATTGTACGAATCAAACTTTTTAATATTCACTGGTATCCGGTTCTTCCTATCTGTAAAAGTGCACTATTAGCTTTAACAACAAAATGGGGGAAGAAGAAAGAGCAAACTGAAACGACAATTACGTAGAAAGCTGAATAGAGAATCAGCAAGACTATCCAATCAGCTAAACGAGTCCACATAAACGTTGTATCAGAAAAAAGAGTAAACGATTCCAAATATTTTCCTTAGACTAACTTAGTAGAACACCCTAAACACTACAAAAAAGAACACCGGAAAATCGAGATGAAAAAAAGCTGAAGGGAAAGAGGAAATAATGTTCATCACTTGCTCCCATCCTTGTACATGCTAAAAATAAAAACGGAATTTCCGAATTAACACCACGACTACTCTATAAAACGGTAGAATACTCTATTATGAAACTGCTACGAAATGTTTATAAAAAAGTACATTAATTGCCAAATAGTAGACAGTAAAAAAAAAAGAACATAAATCAATCCCGCATCACAAGGATCAGTTAATCGATTACTTAAGTGTGTCCTAAAAAGCCTTAAAAAAAGTGTGTCCTAAAAGCAGAAATAGTTTAGCCCACAACCCAATAACGGCCAGAAACTTGGTTGAACAAAACCAAGGAGGTAGAGACCAACGACCGACGAACTAAAACACAGTGAAGACTGAAGAGAAGGGTGGGAAAAGAGAAATAACAAGCAATACGCACCTCTGATGTAACGCCAGTCGTATGGCTTGAGCCTAATATCAGAGTAGGTGAAGGCGGAAACAGTGAAAGAATTGTTGGTACCCTGCTCATCGTATGAAGAACAGGAAAGCAAAAAACATGACGTGAAAACGAGAAGACGGAGATCCAGAGCAGTACCCATAATTGGATTCATTGGGCACCTTGAATCTCATAAAGAATTTTCAACAAGAATAAACGAATGAATTAATTTATATATAAAGGAAGAGCAATGGAACTGTTCTCCAGCGGAAGGGGAAAAGAGAAAAAAACTAAGTAAAGAGAGAAAGTTGGAAACAAAAAGGTAGACGCTTTTAATTTTAAGTAGCAGAGGAAAACACGGTTCTTCCTCGGTATGCTGGGTGACTTCAAAGTCTTCAATTTTCAAGGCAGAAAACAGATTGATATTTGCATGTTTGTCTTCGCACGACATTAGTTAATTATAATAATCATGGAGGGTTAATACTTTATTACTTTATAATCTTAATGATGTAAATAGCTTCTTCAATCTTCACACGACCTATTTTCTTCGTTTAGACTATGAACAGATTTGGGTTTCCGAAATCCTCACTCTGCTCAAGAGTCGACAGTCGAGACTATACTCCGAGAAGAATTATGGGTTTGATCGGAGGGACCGTCGGAGATTTTAGTTGTGGCGACTGACTAGGATTCATATTCCCATTTCCACTCTCCCATGCTTTGTTTGGTTGCTATGAATATATGAAAGAAAGTTAAAAAATAGTATATCACAAATTTGGTTGAAAAGAAAAGAAAATGCCAATGGGCCTAAAAAAAAAGAAAAAAAGAAAATGCTGAAGTTACGTTCTACCTATACCAAATTTAAGTATGTAGGAAGGTAAGGCACTATTCAAGATTAAGTTGGAAAATGAGAATATCATCCTTGGATGGTGGATGGTGACATCCACCAATGAATTTTGCGCACGTGGACAACATAACAATTAGGGATGAATAGATGCTTGATTTAAAGGATGTACATATTGCACGTGCAGTGGGCTGGGCCCTTCAAATTTTAACAGATATTCAACTCATTCCCAAACAAGCCATTGAGCCAATATGTTATCAAGGCAAGTGCCATCCCTTTCCTCCCTAACCAAATTACCATTTGGATATTGTAAATGCCATATAAGGCTACGTTTGAGAAGAGTACGAATAAAAAATTATTTGTTAATATAAATATGTATGATTGATAGGAATGCAAAGTTGGTTTAGTTTTGTAATGATAATTTTGTATAGTGCAAATAGACTAATAGAGTATAAATATAAATGTGTAGAGTGTATTCTAGTTTATGGCTTCATGCAAATACAAAGTTGGTTAAATTTTGCATTGATAAATTTATTTCCTTGCCAAATGATTTTTAGTTGTAATGGGTGCAAATATAAATCCTTAGATTGAAATATACCTTTTTAACATTGATCAACTTAATTAGACCGCAAAGTTCATATACTCTTTTGGATGTAAATTTTGCTCTCATTTTGAATGCAAATATGCATTGAAATTTGTGAAAACTGTCACCAAGGTTCAAAGTATCAGAAATGCTATGCGTATTGGAAAGGCAAATTTAAGAGACGTATCAAGATATGCATGGATGCACACGAAAAATTAAGATACACATGGAAATACATGGAAATGCTATAAATACTCTAATAAATCATAAATAAACATCAATATCACTAATTATAAGACATAAATGAGCTATTTATGCATAAAAATAACACATTTTAGTGGGTTTTATGAAAAAACATATTATAATCAATAAACGGGAAGTTGGGAATAGAAACATACTATCTAATTATGGACATAATAGATCAAGTAATTATTTTGCATGTTTTATTCTAATTTTCTAAAAACTAAATAATTATTTATTTTTATTCAAATTATTATTTTGCATGTTTTATTCTAAAAATTAAATTAAAATTAAGAAAAGTAAATATGTAACAAAAAATTGAATGGATTTATGGACATAATAGATGAAATAATTATTTTGCATATTTTATTCTAAAAATAAAAATAAATAAATATCAATGTTTTAAAACAGAGGCATTCCACTACCTAGAGGCATGAAGCATAGTTCAAAATGCAAGAGGAGTAAGCTTCCTTAAGAGGAGGAAGGAGGAAGGGGGGATTTCATTTTTTTTTCTTTATCTTCAATAAAAAACTTTTATATTAAAAAAAATAAAAATGCATAATAGTTGTTAAAAGGGGGGTCTTGTCGAAGCGGAGCAAGACCCCCCTAACTCAAAAAAATAAATTAGGCTACAATGAAAAGGGGGACGGGGGGGTCTGGGGCCCCCAATCGAAGGGGTAGGGGGCAAACCACTTTCTTTCCCCTTATCTTTTTTAACATTGGCTGAAAATGTAAAAGAAATTTGAAAAAAYATATTTATTTTCACTCCTTTTTTCACAATCTTGAAAAACTTGTTGAATCTTGCAAATTTATAGATGTTTTGGAAAATTTTTACAAGATTTGAGTATTTAGAAAGGCTAAAAACCTTTTTGAAGGGTATGGGAAAGAAAGAGGGCTTCTGAAATGGGTTTAGAAACCCTCTTTCAAATGGAGTTTTATTTGCGTTTCCGCCACAGTAAAATCGTATTGTATCGGCCAATACAGTGCCGAAACGCACCGATACTCAATGATATGGGTACAATACGGGCACGATACAGCCTCAATACGACAAATAGATACGGCACATTCAATTTGGTACCATTTACCGTGCTGAAAACTTGCTGGAATGATACGTATTGGCCAATATGGACCGATACGTGACGAAATTTTGAACCTTGACTGTCACTTTCAGAATGCATTCTTACCAAACACTAGCAAAACCAAACATGTTACCAAAAAAAAGTAATATTGAACTGGAGTGCATATATGCACTAAACTCGCATTTGCAATCTTTTCAAATAAACCCTAAATGATTTTTTTTTTTTTGTTGCAATAGGTCAAACACTTGCAAAATTGAACCAAAATGCATATATGTATTGAACCAGAATTTGCAATCTTCTCAAAGGGAGTTTAGGCTGTTGTTTCGTTTGAAGGAAAAAGTAGGGAAAGATAGAAAAACCTTTACAAAATAGCCTTAAAAGAAGTTAACGTAATAAGCTAATATACAAATCCTTCTTCTTAAGCGAGGGCCCAGGAAGCTCAAGGCCCGTACTAAAAGTGGCTCAATGGGTTAGGTCCCATTGATTTATTAGGCCTATTTTAACGCTGTATTTCAAAGATTTGAGTGAATGTATGATTAAAAAATGTATAAAAATGAAGTATATATAAAACGAATCGAATCTAAATCGACCAAAACCCACCCTAGCTCGGGTAGGTTTCATTTTACCAATTTCAATTTGAGCGGACATGATTGGCTCACAAGTTTGGAAAAGTGCTGCACTCTTCTTCCAAGGGTAGACCACGATCCTTTGGCTCCGACACATGACAAATTGTGGGATTCATGGCTATTAATTCATCCTACTGGGTATTGACATTCACGCAAGGATCTCCTCAACGAATGGTTGAAAACATCTTACCCCAAGAAGTAGAAGTAACATACTTGGGAGTTGAGACATACAGCGCATGGGTCAGGCTGGTCTGACAGTGATCAACTGATTCTGCGCCAAGGTTGAGCTTCCTGTGGATAACTGATTTATGTGCTTGATGGGCTTGCATGGAGAGATGCTTCCAATTCACAGAGGAGATGTTGTTGTGGCCTGTGGGGTGTGCGTGGGGCACATTATTTGGGGAGCCATCCCATCTCAAATAGAGTTTAGGAATTGGGATGGACTGCCCATCCCGTCTCAGTTTGGATGGGTTCCCCACAGTCACCCACAGGCCACAGCCCATCCCCTTTAGGCTGTGGGGAGCCCATCCCGTCTCATATAAATGGGTAGGGCCGGGATTTATGCTTTGATTGTCTTTCTAAGAGAAGCTGAAGTCCAACCCGAATATTTCTAGTTTTGTGGATCTGAATTTGGTGCCTGTTTGTTTGTGTTGCAGCAGCAAATACGAATTCAACCTAGCTAGTGATCCATGGGAAGAGCGAATGAGAATGATACACTGTGGTACTCTGTAGGGAATTCTTAGTAAACATCTTTAACTAGTCTATAAATGCAAAAAAAAAAAAAGAATGGACGATATCAAAACTGGTATAAACATGAGCCATCATCACTTCGAGCTGTGGGATCAAAGTTTCCGGCAACAGGATCTGTGCAACCTTCAGGCACCGGAAAGTCTACTTGTTGGGCAGCTTTTCCTGAAATAGGAAATGAAGCAAGATGTTCATCAAAGCCATGTTTGATAATCCACAAGTTAAAAAAGAAGCAAAGAAAGATGAAAGAACAAGAAAACCAGTAATAAAAACTGTCCAGAGGCGCGCCCAAAGTTGTATCATCACCGGAATCATGAACCAGAAGTGACGATGAAATTTACCATAGAAGTTGCCTGTGTCAATGGAGTCTCTATTTGCATCACCAAGTGCTGCGTCACTCAAGTACTTGTCCGCCAATTGGACTCTCTTAACGTTCTCTTGCTCTTGAACCAGCATGTTACCATACTCCAACAATTTCTCAATGGTCATAGCTGGCTTCTCAAATGTGGGTGGGCCTTCTTTGGAGTTCACCAGTCTCTTGCCAATGTTATCCACCCCAATCTCTGATATCCATTTCCTCACTTCATCATCATATACTCTGGCTCTAAGTGCACCGAAGAAATCTGCAACGTTAATTGCAACAAAAGGTTAAAGAAAGGTGTTCATTAAGAATACATAGAAAGGGGGAGCAAATCTAAAGTATACTTTGAAAATTCAATGCAGTGATTTAATTAAGCTCTGTGTGATTCCAGGGTTTAAATGACTTTGAGAAAATTAAAGTGTTAAAACATGGCGAGAATCCTAATTATATTCTTACCGATGGATTGACCAGGAAACGTGTCGACTAACTTGACTATATCATCTTTAGGCACATTATCAGCTCTGAAAATACCAGTGCAGACCCCAATTCTGTCGTCTCTGGTGGGAGCCCAGTAAAACTTCTCCATCCTGCCATCACGGATCAGCGGAGCATATAGAGTTGAGAAGTCATTACCCGTTACAATGATGGGTACCCGGGCGTTCTCCTCCTTGTTATACATTCCCGGCAGCTGTACATTTGTTGGGTTGTCTGCAATGTTCATGAGAGTGGCATTAACCATCTGGTTGTTAACGGTATACTGAGTGGTACCCCCAAGCCTTCCAGCTCCTGCATCCAAATCGTTGATGAAGAGGCAGCACATCTTTCCCTTGGCGATTATGTCGGCCGCCTCACGGTACCTTTGCCGGACCAGTTTTGCTGGCTCGCCGGCATTGCCGCTCTCTAGTTCTCCGGCGCTCATCATGATTGGGCTTCATGGAGAGTGAATTGAAGGTGAGAGCGAGAATGTGTATACTGAAGTACTGTAGTAGTAATATTAGTAGTAGTAGTAGTGGACGACTAAATGAAATAATATTGATGATGAATGACTTACTTGATCCCCATTTTGGCAAACACAAGCTCACATTGGAAAGATTTGCCTTGACCTTTCCCTCCCCATATGCCCAAAATCAAAGGAACCTGATTGAGTGATTGGTGGCTCCAATTAGTAAAACCCAACCTTTAGTTAAATGCTACCTTCTTCATCAGCTTTAATTTGTATATATAGATAGACAAAGGCAGCAGCTGGTGGTAATTAGTTAAGGAGTTAATTATACCTTGACATTAGGTAAGGTCATGAAGTTCTTGGTGATGTGAACCACAAGCTTGTCCATGAAGGCTGGGGCTATATAGAAGCCATCCTTAATGTTGTCCATAGCGAACCTGCACTCACCAAAATTAAAGGGCATGAATAGTTTCAAAAGAATTGAAACATGTGAACCCATGTTGCTGGGTTCACTTTATACCATTTCTATGAACCATCAATTCGATGGGTTGGATTGTTGAGGGCTTCATTTATATATATTCCTTTTCCTCCTTTCAGAATTGAACATACAGAAAGAAACACGACACGGGGGGAGAGAAGGTTGATAGTTCATACTGGCGGAGGGCAGTACTGACATAATCGTAAGAGCTCATGACAGCGTAGTGGGTCCCAGATCCCATGGGAGCTTGGAAGAGGGAATCCACCACCCCTTTCCCCCTTGTGATGTCCTGTTGATCGTCCGACATGTCAAAGGCAAGCCCACGCCATCGGTCGGTCTTGGTCTGCTTCCCCTCATCCACTTCTGCTACAATTCTGAAGGCGCTAGCCTTTCGATTGTTGTTGCCTCCGTCTGAACAACATCTCTTCAAGCTAACACCGTGTAAGGGCGATCTCTGCAGCCCTCTCCCTGCGGATCTACATCTACCCCTCAGCTGCAAAGGTGAAGAACCAAAGAAGGCTCAGTCACATTTCTTATCTTAATTACCTAAAGAGAGAGAGAGAGAGAGAGTGGGAAGGAAAGAGTGGCTCGCATACAGGGGCCTGACGTACAGAGCTGATGGTGTACAGAGAACCAGAAGCCATTGCTTAGCCAGGTTCTTGATATTTTGAGTCTTGTGGGAGGTGGGGTGGGGGGGCAGGTCAAGAAGAACCAGATGGAGGTTTAGCAGTGTTGAAAAGCTTAAGGATGGCCACGTGGCAAAATACAGTGGCTTCCGGCTATGTTGTGGATAAGATATAAGTAAAAAGGCATCTTTCAAAATAGAAAAGATATTAGTTAATAGGAGATCAATAATTGGGGGGTTTCCGAAAAGTAAAGAGGCTTCACGTGATAATATTCCAGGCAACGAATAGAGATTGGGAAATATCCAGTAGGGGCTCCCGGTTGGGGGACCCACCGATGCTTCCTTATCTTCTATTTTGATACATCATTTACGTTTGGTGGACCCATCTATATTATTCTCATTGTTTACGGGGCACGGGAATGCACCAACCTAATCCGCAGTCGCGAAGGGCTCAACCATCCATCCACACACCAAACAACAGAAAAGATGAGCAAGTCTACGTACTACAGCTTTGATTGGGAGTTTGTTTGGACAAGTATTTTCGTTAGGGGTGAGCATCGGCCGGTTTGGTTTTATGGCATAATTTAAAAATTATTTTTTAGGGATCAATTTTAGATTTTTGGAATTGGAACTTATTCTATAAAGGTCGGTTCCAATGTTAGTTTTGGTTTGGTGGTTTTGGGGTCGGTTATGGGGTCTATCCGTGGAATCTTTTTCTTTACTCTCCCTTTTCAAGAAAAAAAAAGTAATGTATTATTTAAAAGCTTGATTTTCAATAATGATATTATATAATTTAAAACTTATATTATTTTTATTGATTAAATTGAGTAATTTAATATGTAAATCATCATAATATATTAAAATATGGTTGAAAATTTATCGTTATAATTTAAATTTTGTGAATATTACCTTTTACATTATTTATTATACACATGCAAATATTAAAATGAAAACAAATGATTAAATCATTTAAGTAACTTGATGGTCAAATAAGACTATGGCTTTTGTAACTATGAGTTCTTGGGCTCAAATTTTCACATCCTTAATATTTTGGGGTTTATTTCAAGGCATGTTGGGTTCTAAGGCCAGTTCCACCAAAACTGGTTCATTGGGTCAGTTTGGGTAAGGTAAACCCCTACACCCTGTATCCAACTTAGGCGGGGGTCAATTTTAAGAATTTGGAACCAAGCCCTACCCTTTAACAATTCGGGTAGGATTGGTTTGAGGTCGTTCCATTAGAAAGTTTAGGCATAGTTTGGGAAGACTATAAATACAAGTATGTAGAATGCAAAACCTTGTATTTTGTATTATGTTATATGTAGTTGCCTTGTACATATTTGTATTTGCACATATAGATGAAATCTTGTTCGTTACAATATAAATTAAAGCATCTTTGGTTCTTGATGATTCTAACTAATTAGTAGGCTTGATGTGTTGTTAACATGGGTGTTGACCAATGTATTTTGTTTTTATAAAGGCAAAAAGGGTAACTTTCTGAAACCTCCCCCTAAAGTTTAGTAATTGCAACCACTTCTCCTAAACTTTTTTATATAATTGCAAGTAGACCCCCTATTGTGTAATCTTCTAAAAAAGCATGAAAATGTTCAAAATACCCATGCAGTTACTATTTGGTTGGTTTTTCCTAGAAAAAAAAAACAATACAAACTTTATAAACAACAAAAGCAAAGAGAACTTAAAGTTATGGTCTTACCATTGAGTGATTGATATGAAGGGCAAATTTGGAAAATAAATCAATTTCAGAAAAGAAATTGGAATGGTTTGGGGTAGTGATTCATATGAAGAGAAAATTTGGAAAACAATATTTTTGTTAGAAATAATTGCATGGGCATTTTGGACATTTTCATACCTCTTTTTAAAAGATTCTATCAGAGGGGGTCTACTTACAACTATGTCAAAAAGTTTAGGGGAGGTGATTGCAATTACCAAACTTTAGGGGAGGTTTCAGTAACAACTAGAAACTTAAGAGAAGTTTCAGAAATTTACCCGGGCAAAAATGTATTGTTTTTATAAACTTGAAAGTCCATATTGTTTTAGAAAATAAAAGCATTCACATTAGCAAAGAGCACCCCACCCCTGCATAACCCTCCACTTTGACATTAGTGTGTTATACTCGCATCCTTGCCTGAATGGAAGTGCAGAAGAAAAGTCCGAAAATTGTGCAGGAGATCTTGACCTTGAGTACTCATGGTGGTTGACATCTTCTTAAGTTGGATAAGAACTTGCCCATTGAAGCTTAAAGAATAATCTTAGTTTTTCATAAGGAGTAGAAGAGGTAGAATTTCAAGAGAAATGGGACAGGAAGGTCTGAATCTATTACAGATTTTTTTTAAAGAAAAAATAAACAATTTTTTTTTAATTTTAAGAATTGGAGGAGAATTAAAGAATGATCCTTAAGGGACGCCAAAGACCCACTTTATTACATTATTAATCCAACCTCCACTTACTAATTAAATAAAATGATGGTTTTAACTTTTAATAAAAATTTTGGGGGGCCAAGAAGGACTCCCCACCACCACCAGTATTCTTTATCCGAGATGGAATCTGCTCTTCACAAATGGGTGCCTCACATGCACATCCACAGTGCATTGGGAACATCTCCCGTGAATAATAATTAGTAAGTACGGGAAATGTTCCCGATGCATGGTAGGATATGCATATGAGGCGCTAGGTGTGAGGAGTAGATCTGGTCTCACTTGCTCCATCCTTTGGAGTATGGAGCAGATAACAAAAAAGCTTAGGGGTTTTTACCGTTCAATCTACCTCTGAAATCCTAGCTCCACTGTACAGTTGAGGGTAGGTGCCAACTGAGATTGATGTCAATTCACGGATAGATACAGGTGTTATAGGTGGAAGCTTTCATAAATTTGAATTATTGTAGGTGTACCGCTCAAATCTAAATTCTGAGGTGGAGTCCAATCTAAAAATCCCAAAAGTTTATTTTTGTGCATAGGCTCTTTAATGTCTAATCTAAATCATAAAGGTGATAACGGAAATGCATGTGTGGGGACAAAGACATATTTCATTGGTGGGGACTGGGGAATCCTTTTAATTATTGATTATTATTCGGTCATCCTCCCTTATATTTTGGGGAAGACTTTAGGGATTTATACACATACACCAACATCTTTTGTATTTGTACGTGTCCTCACTCTGACAAAGGACAAGCCAATGTCTTTGGAAATAGAATCATTTGCCGTCCATACAAAGTGGGGTGCTTCGTGCTTGTGAGGAGGCATGTTACGTTAAACCAAAAATTCCTGCTGTACTTTTGGTTTAGTGTCATTTTGGTTCTGAATTTTAATTGATTATTAACTAATTAAGTATTTGAGCTTTTAAAATGTATCAATTTTATTGTTAACTAATTATTAAGTGGCAATTGAAAAGATATAAACATTGATAAAAAATGAATAGTCTCAAAGCTTTGTCTCTTCTATTCAAAAAAGTTGGGATTATCAAAATGTCCACTGAAATGTGATCCTAACATTCTTGAATATAAGAGAAGAATTTGGAACTGTTCATTTTTTGTCAAGCGTTTAAATGGTTAATAAAGAAAATTGGATGACACTTGAAGGACATTAGTGTCTTTTCAAATATCACTTAACGGATGGTTAAGCAGTAAGTACTGGATTGACATGTTTTGAAAGTTCAAGTACTGAATTGTCACGTTCTAAAGTTTGAAGACCAAAGTAACAATAGCAACTCATATCTGAACCATTTGAAATAGCAACTCATATCTGAACCATTTATTTAATGGGTAGTTTCTAATGGGACGTTTTCTAACTGAACCATCTATTCCTTTACTCTCACATTAGGCACCATAATAGAGGATCAGAACCATTTATTTAATGGACCCACAGAAAAGATAATATAATCAAAACATGGAATGCAAGATTTTTATTTTTGAATGCCGAAATAGCAACTCATGTCTGATTGTAAGGTCATGGAACGTAGTTTATATCTTTAAGATCTAAGGAGGATGGTCTGAACCATGAAGAGGAGGAGGTAGGGTACGATATTAGACTAAACTTGACCTGCATATTGTTGGAAAGCATAAAAACTTTATGTATTAGGTGTTGAATTTAATAATATTTTAAATTTTATGTAAAGGATATTTGATAGTTTATGTGTTTTCTATATGTCTTTATCAAATAATTAGATATTTTGTTGTTTATTTGTGTTAATTTACTTATTCATTGCTCATATATGACAAGAAATAATAGGAAATTAGATACATTTGTAAACCCAACCCACCACTATGGCACTACCCTTAAATGCAGAGAGGGTTTTGCATTTTCATATATGGAGAGGGTTTGAATTCTCAAAATTCAACATGCTACAGGTTTCAGGGTGGGTACTGGTTGGGAGATTTAGGAAGGCAGATATAGGGTCTAGAATTTACAAAACCCTCCCCAAACCTGTCTCATTGCCATCCCTAAATGAAAAAAAAAAAAATTTAAAAGTGTTGCATTTGGGTGTAAATTACCTATTTATAATCAATTAATTTCCCATATTCCAAAACTTTCCTAGACTTTATCTTTACCATTTTATCCTTAGTTACTTTAAAATATTCTCACATTTAATTAGTGCACATGTCTTTAATTGTTATTTTAGGATGTTCTTGATCACAAGTTCTCTTAATTAATGTTCTAGAATGATCTAACACTTGGTGCACCTTTTAATTAAACATATGTCATAAAAACGGACTGGTCTGACCCAGGCTTTACCGGTTGGGTCAACATATGTCAAATATAACATAGGTTGTAAATAGAAAAAAAAAAGGTCTACTAGATGCTAGAAAGGAACTTTAAATTAAGATAAAATAGATATCAATAAAAAGAAAGAGTTTAAATACATTGCATTCACTATTAGCCACATGTTAAATCAATCTCAACCAATCACTTTAAAATTTGTTTATTTGTCATCGATTCAATTTTCACAAAATGCACTTTCATGTTTAATAAGACGAATTTAACAAAATGTTCAATTAATCACATTTTTTATTGTATAATGCAACGGATGCATCATAAATTTTGCCTTAAAAAATTATGTTGTTAAAATCCGATA